TTTTACATGGCATTGCTGAACATTTCTATTGGGAATTCTGAAGAAGAGAACTAGATGTGCATTTTTGGCCAATATAACAGCAGGCATTTCGTTTTGTAAGGTGCATGGGAGGGAGTGGATGCATGGATTTTATTAACATGGGAATTGGATGGAGATTTTCTTGCACTAAAGAATTACACTTAAATGTGAGCACAATTATTGTGAATATTATGTGTATAAAAATTTACACTATTATAACATTTTGTTAATTTGGGTATTTTAACACTGAGAATTCCAACGTTGAAGATCTTGGTGAAAAGCAGTGAATGGAAATATGATATGAGACAGCTGAATTACAGGCAGTCCCAGGGTTACGAACAAGATAGGTTCTGTAGGTTTGTTTTTAGGTTGAATTTGTATGTAAGTTGGAACAGGTACTTTTTTTTTTTAAGTGTAACTCCATACAAAAAAAATATAAAGTTTTGGATAGCATAGGGATGGGTTATTTGGCCATGCAGTGATGTGGGATTGCTGACAGGTCCACCGGACAGTAGGTGGCACCATGCAGTGAACAGCAAGATGGCCACCCAGACGTCACGCTGTCTCCATTCTTAAGTACGAGTTATATGTAAGTCGGATGTTTGTAACTCGGGGACTGCCTGTGTATTTGACATATTGGGATTGGCAGCACCGTGAGCACTGGGTCTTATTTGGCACTCATACATCGATCAAGATGTGAGCACACTCATTTGGTTCATGATATTGGCATATGAGAATATGCTATACTATAGTATATTTTTGTTTTTATTTTTGATGTTTCAAATAACACTTGGGAGGAAGAGCGCAAGATGAAGAAATAAGAAGACACTTTTCAATGGTTGTTTTAAATAAGCTTTATTTTGACCCATATATGTGAAGGGTAAACACATCTTGTGAGAAATCCTAAGGATTCTGAATATTGTAGCAAATGTTGGGACATTTTAAAAACTTTTAGCGCTGGTTTATGTTGGTACATCTTTGAACTAACCGGAGGTAGTAATATGATTCCAGCTGCTTTTTGGACATCTTTAAAACCTCTCCTGTGCGCTGATATAAGAACTGGGTACTGTAATATATGTACCTTCCAATCCCCAGAATGTCATCATTTAGCCTCGGTTCACACTGCCGCGACTTGGGATCCAACTTGTGAGACTCCAAGTTGCATGACATGTGAAAACCCATGTTGGTCAATGTGAGCTGTCTTAATTAGCACTGCTGAAGAAGTCGCTCCAACTTTAGAAAAGGTACCTGTACTACTTCAAGGCGACTTTTATCCAACTTGTGTCCACATACTTTAATAGAAGTCGCCTACAAGTCGGATTCTCATCTATATTGATGTGATTTGGATTCGACATTACAGGAAGATTACCCAGGCATTTCCTGAAAGTTGCTTAAGAGTTGCTTCAAAGTCGCTTCAACGTAGTCCTTAAGTTGCCTGGCAAAGTCGCACTGCACGTTGCACGACTTTCAGGTAGCAGTAGCGTGAACTGAGACTTAAGGGACTTTGGAAAGAGTACACTCTTGAATAGTGTCTGTTCATTTCGTTTTGCCATGGGTATGGAGCATTCATATGGGTCTGTTTTAGTGTTTTATATGTAGATATGTTTAAGTGTGTTAAAATTCTGTATAAAAAAATATATAATGTGATCAGCCACAAATATTTTTGCTGTAGATTTTCAGATTCCCTACTCTGTTGAATCTGGTTGATCCAGTCTGAATGTTGATTTGGAAAGATACATTTACAAATTGCTTACTTTGTACACACTCAGAAGTGGATAGCTTTTTTTTCAGTTGAATGAAGAAATGCTGCCCTCTCTGAAACAGTTTAGGTGGTCTTCCAGTTCTGTTTTCGAATAATGTAAAGAAGGAACATTTGACCAAGAAGCAGATTGGGTCAGTAGCTGTAGTTTTCTTGATGCTAAACTGGACCATTTGGGTTAGTGTAGGCTGAGATTTAAAACAGAGTCTATACTTCTAGTTTTACCCTTGGACATTAGATATGGGTAATGTCTGAAAGAACAGTCATGAGTTTGTGCAACACAAAAGGCTCCTGACTTTGCTCTCAAAAATAAGTCGTGGCATGGTCTTGCTGAGCTTCAGGCTCAAGAGATGTCACTGGGCATATTGTATGGTCGTGGCATGGTCTTGCTGAGCTTCAGGCTCAAAAGATGTCACTGGGCATATTGTATGGTCGTGGCATGGTCTTGCTGAGCTTCAGGCTCAAGAGATGTCACTGGGCATATTGTATGGTCGTGGCATGGTCTTGTTGAGCTTCAGGCTCAAGAGATGTCACTGGGCATATTGTATGGATGACCCCCGAAAGTCACCCCAGGGAAATGCACCAAATTGTCCAACTGGTGGGAGGCCCTGTGACATCACTAGAATACACTGGTAGGATGATATCGTCAAAGTGGCCAGGGTATGCCTTGAAGTTACATTGCAGAAGCTGGATTTTATAACTAGGCAGAGGGAATTACAGTTAACAATATATTCCAAAAATTGGTGATGTGCAGCAACCAGAGAACAAATCAGGTATCTGTTTACAGGCTGGTATGTGTAATGCAAACATATTTCTAAACTGGTAATAGCTCACATCACTGTTTTTCGGTTTATATTGGTAAAAAAAAAATATTCTAAACTATCCTCCTAGATTGTAAGCTCGAAAGAGCAGGGCCCTCGAACCCCTCGTGTATTGTTTTGTTACTGTATTGTCTCATGTTCTGTCCCCCTCGCTATTGTACAGCGCTGAGCAAACCTTCTGGCGCTATATAAATACTGTATAATAATAATAATATTACCAGTTTTCAAATCTGCTCACACAACACTTTGACATCATATGTGCATGTACAGTGACTAGAGAACTGAATAAGCCAGTGCTTTCTAATTTATGGGCACATATTTATAATATTAACCCCTTCACGCCTAAGGGTAACAAATCTTAATGTCTAAGCACAATTTTTGCAACGTTAACATGTGTTAGTAATACCGTACATATCATCACAACTACTTTGTACATCCAGGTGAATTATACCTTGTTTTTTTTTCAGGACAAATTGGCCTTTCCTTTGGTGGTAAATGGTAATGGATATCTCCTGATTTTTTTTTTCATTATCAAAGGAAAACTGGCCCAAAATAATGTTAAAAAATATTTTTTTTATTTAGCTGTGTGTTTCTTGTTACTATCATAACCTACCACCAAAGAAAAACCCAAAATAAATTCTCCAGCTCTTGACAAATGCAGCAATACCATATATGTGTATGTTATTTGTTGTTTGTACCCGTAGTACAGCCCAGAAACAATAGTGCACATTTTGTTTTTGTCTTTTTTTTTTTTTTTACCTAAAACACACTGACACTGACATTGACACTAACTGACACTGATACCAAATTTTTTATATGAAATCCTGACCTTTAACCCTGACCTTTTGACCTTGACCTTTGACCATGACCTAAACACTAACCCTGGCACTGAACTAGATCAAACCTTGATCTAGGAATTTTTTCTTTATTTTTTATTTTATTTTTTTAATATTTATTTCTTTTTTTCTTTCTTTTTTCTTTTTTTTACAAACATTTTTTTTCTCTCTATGCTAGGAGTTAGAGAGATACAATGTATCTCTCTCCTCCATTCAGAGAAAAAAACAAGGTGCCAGGCTGTACAGTGACTGATCACTGTGATAGCCAATCAAAGGCTATCACAGCAATCATGTGACCAAGAATCGGGAGTCCGGGTCCCGATCGTTAGAACGGGACCCAGTGCTCTCAGTGACACCGCGGTCTTTGTGCTGGGAGCGCTCCCAACACAAAGACAGATACGCGCCGTTCAGCTAGCTCCCAGCACAAAGACAGGTACACAAATATGCGGCCCCATGGAAAAAAGCCCAGTTCTGTGATGCCGCATATTTGTGTTACATCGGTGTCAAGGGGTTAATCAGAGCTTGTTGAAATTAGCTTTACTTTCTTATATTTTTTTTTTTTCAGATTTAAGCAAGTCATAGGCAACTGAATTATACATCTTCAGCTTCACTGATATGAAAAAAAAACGCATAAGCCTTAAGATTAAAAAAATGTGTCCATGCAACACAAGTCTACACACATACAAAACATAAGAGGCACTTCTGCCAAAATGTCTATTCTGATATGCACTGTGAAACATATTTTATCCAGATGCAAACACTCTGTATAGGATTAGTGCAGGTCCACTAGCTTACTTCATGTCCTAGACCTTGGCCCCATCATAAATAGAGCGAGCATCTAAAGAAGACTGAAATAGTATCTCTCTATTTTTTTTCTGTGTTGTGTGTCTGGTAGAGAGTCAACATCCAGAGCTTTCCAGACAGTGTTCATATGTGTACAATCTTCTGATTGCCAGCCAATGGCATCACTGCTGAACTGTCCCCAATTCTTATAAATAACTATATGCTCAACACACAAATCATACGCTATACGCCAAAATATCTTCTCTCTAATGTTATTTCTGCCAGAAAAACAATGTGCATATTTAGCTTTACGTTTCTTACTGTATATCATACAAACAACAAGTTACTATAGTCTTGATCAACTGCTAAAAGCTTTATATCTTTTCCAGTTTGGCTATAAAAAGATGTTTTATAAACACCAGTTTAATTTATAATAATAATTTATTTTAATGTAATAATAATTTATTTTCACCAGTCACATCATACAAACAACAAATTTATCTTATAATTACTGTAGTTTTGATTAACCTCTGAAAGGTTTAGAATTTTCCAATTTGTTTTCAAAAGAAGTTTTATATATACAAGTTATAATTTATTTTCACTGATTTATAACTGTCACATGTAATGTTAATATTACTGAGGGTGCAAATAGCCTGCAATTTAAAATAACACTTTCAAATCGAATTAAATATTAGACAGCATTATTACACTTTATATTGAAACATATGTTGACAATCTTTTTCATATAAGCATAACAAATATGTTTCTGCTGTCTAGACTTACTATGAGACAACTGTCCGTGAGAGTAAACATGTCATTTATTTTCAGGTGCTGAAGAGCTCCACAACCAGCCGCTATGTATCTGAACCCATCAATAGAGATCTAGGGGTTAACAAAACATATAATATAATTACACACATATCTGTTGATAGACACCACCAGCAGAAATAAATTGTGGGTTTATTACAGGGTTTGGGTGTACTTTAGCTACACTTAGTATAATCAAATTAACCTCTTATTTAGGGAGGGTAAAACAAATCTTAACATCTAAACACAATTTTGCAACTTTGACATGCGTTAGTAAAGCTTAACATATTATCACAACTTCTAAGTTTGAGACCCCTTGTTTTTTTTTTCTTTTACACTTGCTCTATTTTCTTTACCCCCGTTTTTCTTTGCAGGTAGGTGGCACTTCCTTTGTCCTTTTTTTCTTTTTTCCCTCTTTGGGCCTTGTTCACACCATGAAGCAGCGATGTCAGTTTTTCTGCAAGCATTCTGCAAGGGCACAATTAAATCAATTGTTCTCTAAGTGCCCTGTTCACACCACAACACTAGTATCACCTGCAGATTTTTTTCTACATAGGAATCTGCAGTGTGTATAAAACTCATTGAAGTGTGCATGAAAACTGTTGTAAACTAACCTCTGTGCAAGTGAAATCTGGGCGTTAGTTTCCATCAGTTTTTCTGCACATATGGTATGAACAAGGCCTTACTGTTGCTACTCCAAAAAAGTTTGAGGGAAATTCTTACCTTCTGACTCCAGTATATGGGTATGCTGTTGATATGATGCAGAGTATTATCTTTTACCCATTGGAGCAGGGGTAGGCAACCTTAAAGAGGTAGAGATCTACCTGAACAACATGGCAGAAGTCAAAGATCACCGGGCACAGTGTTGCCTCCTCAAGCCTTATTTAAACCTCTAATTGCTGTACTACCATGTCACAATCGCATGCATTGCACGCCAATCATGGGTTTAAATCAGGTGATGAGGAGGCAACATAGTGCCTCTTCACCACCTGTCAAACGTACTGGGATCACTTTGCAGGGAGCAGCAGTGCCTAGTGCACCTGTGAATGAGCCCTTAGTTATAATCAGCAGTGGCAACCTAAGGGCTTCTTCACATGTAAAGTTGGGGATGGTAAAACCCTGCGGTTGAATCACGGCTTTACCACCCTCCAATCCCTACCCCCTTTAGCTGCTGAGGCAGCAGCCAAAGGTGTGCACATGCCACAGCAGGAATTACACCCCCTGTTGCTTTTGGTGGGTGCTACTGCCTGTCAACCGAGACCCATTCAAGTAAATTAGCCACTCTGCAAGTGTCCTGCAACTGCATGCTTCAGCGGGGTCCAAGGGCTAAAGCAGGTGGTGAGAAAGAAACACAGCTACCTGTTTAACCCCTTGTTTGCTGTACTGCACAACGTTGCAGGGCAATTGCAGAGTGACCTCATTCACTTGAATGGGTCATGCTTGACTGGTGCTGCACCCACTAACCATGTCAGGGCGTAGGAGCCAGTGCTACAGAGGAGACATCAACTTATGTAGCTCTTGCTCCCTACTACAGCTCCAACTTTACAAGTAGTCCCTCTGCATTGCACTCTGTTTGATGCTCTGGGATGGCGGGTCAGCAATCCCTGACCGTGATCTACCAGTCAACCTGGCCAAGATCTACTGGCAGATCACCATCTACTGGTCGCTGACCCCCGCATTGGAGAATACCTATAAAAGATTTCACAATGGACAATGTATACCGTTGTATGAGGATATATGGATGTAAATACGTTGGTGTGACTCATGCCTTTTGTTGTGCACTGTACTGTATGTACTTCCCTTATTGTTAAATTAAGAATTAAAAAAAAAACAATTAGTTTATCCAGGTAACTTATACCTTGTAGTGTTTTTCAGGATAAATTGAGCTTTAATTTGGTGGTAAATGGTAATGGGTATCTCCAGATTCTTTTTTTCTTTGTTTCATTTTCAAAGGGAAACTGGCCAATCCGATGCTATCACAATGATCAGATAATCGGGAACCAGGCCTCCCAGTTCCCATTCATTAGTATGAGACCTGGAGCTGTCACTGACAGCTCAGTCTCTGTGCTGGGAGCACACTATGTAGCTCACTCTCAGCACAAAGTAGCAGATACAGTATATGCAACCCCATGGATAAAGACCTAATTCCGCAAGGCTGTATATATCCGTAAGCTTAAGTGGTGAAATAGAAACTGTCATCATTTATTTTACTTTAAAGGAAAGGATTCAAGTCTGAAATGTCACACAACTGAGGGTTAAGGTAAATAAAAAGGGCATTTAGATATTGTTTTTATTTTTTGAGACCAGTAATTTAGTTAGAGGTGGATGAGTGAAGGCAACCTGGAGATCAGCTTTAAGCTGGCCATAGACTGTGGTTGAGCATGTTTACAATCCAAAAGGAAGACATCAGAGCATTGCCTAAAGAGAACTTGTGAGGAGAGAAATATGAGAGCTAGCTTAATTTTTTAAGGTGCAGCCCCAAGACTTGTCATTCTGAACCTGGCTTCATTAGCTTTCAAGTCTCGGGCCAGTAACAAAAATGCAGCCATGTCAGAAAAGTGTGAACTCTCCTTCTGCATACCTATTTCGGTACTGAAGCAAGAAGCAGAATGTTTGCCCTTGACAAAACCTGTCCCTTTAAAATGGTCCCTTTAAAATAGTCTGTCACTAGCATAAACAAAGCAGTTTTTTTTCTGAGCTCCCCCCGAAACATAGCATTTTAAACCTGTTCTGTTACTTCTGTTATTTTTTTACTTTCTTTAACCAATTCAATACCGGGCAATTTTACACCTTACTGCCCAGGCCATTTTTCACGTTTCAGCGCTCTCACACTTTGAATGACAATTGCGCGGTCATACAACATTGTACCCAAACTAAAATTTTATCATTTTCTTCACACAACTAGAGCTTTCTTTTAGTGGTATTTAATCACCACTGGGGTTTTTATTTTTTGCTAAATTAACGAAAAAAAGACCAAAAATTTTGAAAAAAAAAACACGTTTTTCTTTGTTTCTGTTATAAAAGTTTACAAATAAATAATTGTTCTTCATAAATTTAGGCCAAGATGTATTCTACTACATGTCTTTGGTGAAAATAACCCAAATTAGGATGTATTTTGGAGTTTGTAGGAAAGTTATAGAGTTCACAAACTATGGTATATATCTGAAAATTGATCAATCCTGAAGTACTGACAGCCAATCTAATTTCTTGAGGTCCAAGAATGTCAGAACAGTACAGATATCCCCCAAATGACCCCTTTTTGCAAAGTAGACAGTCCGACGTATTTCATAAGAGGCATGGCGCGTTTTTTGAAGTTGTATTTTTTTTGTCATAATTTTTTGGAAAATTAAAAAAATTATTTTCACTATTTTTTTTTTTACATACTGTCACCAGTGCAGTACAGCATCATCATATAACTGGCATGGCAGTGAACAGGGACACTGACTGGTGACAGTATGAAAAAAAAAAATATATATATATATATATATTTTTTTTTTTTTATTATTTTTAATTTTTTTTTATTACATTTTTTTAAGATTTTTTTTTTATATTTTACTATGACCAAAGTAGTACAGTGTTACCATAGTAACATTGTACTACTTTGGGGAAGTGATCAGTATTTTTTTTTTTTTTACACAGTTTGCTTATAGCAATGAATTACTTTGCTATAAGCAAGCATTTACCAGAATGAAATCGATTCATTCAGGTTTTGGGTTTTTTTTTTTGTGCTTAGCTGTGATTTGGCCACAGCTAATCACATGACATGTGCATGTGACCTGCTGTGACCATTCACAGCTAGGCACTAGTATACAATGGATGGCATCATTCAGTCAGGCTTCACGAGGTATGTAAATGGCCTACACCTATAGCAAGGTTAAAGCAGGGCTCCACACAAAAGGGGAAGTTCTGCTTTAAGTCTTTGTTTCTCTGCTCCCCATTAAGGTTTGGGGAGCGGGTACCCGAATTTGACAGGCTTCCGCTACAATCGTCTAAGGCAGTGGTCGGCAAGCCGCGGCTCGCGAGCCACATGCGGCTCTTCACCCAGTCTAATGCGGCTCTTCTGTGTGCCGGGCGCCTGCTCCCCTCCCTCCTCTCGGTCGGGGAAACCGCTCCCCTGCCTCCTCTCGGTTGGCAGCCCCAAAAGTCCGCGCGGGACCTTTTAATCCGGCTTGCGGATGTGGCTGTCAGGATGTGTGTAGGCGGGGCAGCGTGCCGAACGTGAGGGGAGGGGAGCTAGGCTCCTCTCACAGTCCGCCCTGAAGACCCGAACGGCGCGGGAAGACAGCGAGAGGAACGCAAAAGGTAAGTGAATTGACACGGGGGACTTGGCTTACTAGAAGGGGGGGGGGGGATAGTACTGTGGGGGATGAAATACTATATGAGGGATGAATTACTTTATGAGGGATGAAATACTATATGGGGGGATGAAATACTATATGGGGGATGAATTACTATATCAGGGATGAATTACTATATGAGGGATGAAATACTATATGGGGGGATGAAATACTATATGGGGGGATGAAATACTATATGGGGGGATGAATTACTATATGAGGGATGAAATACTATATGGGGGGATGAAATACTATATGAGGGATGAAATACTATATGGGGGATGAATTACTATATGAGGGATGAATTACTGTATGAGGGATGAAATACTATATGGGGGGATGAAATACTATATGAGGGATGAAATACTATATGAGGGGATGAAATACTATATGGGGGGATGAAATACTATATGGGGGATGAAATACTATATGAGGGATGAAATACTATATGAGGGATGAAATACTATATGAGGGATGAATTACTATATGAGGGATGAAATACTATATGGGGGGATGAAATACTATATGGGGGGATGAAATACTATATGGGGGGATGAAATACTATATGAGGGATGAATTACTATATGAGGGATGAAATACTATATGGGGGGATGAAATACTATATGGGGGGATGAAATACTATATGAGGGATGAATTACTATATGGGGGGATGAAATACTATATGAGGGATGAATTACTATATGAGGGATGAAATACTATATGAGGGATGAAATACTATATGGGGGATGAAATACTATATGAGGGATGAA